TGCACCAAATGTGTACCAGATGGCCGTCGTGAAAACGGCTATTAGGTACGGTTCTCCAGGGTATTAGTCGTTGGTCGCTCGGCGAGCGGGAGGGCAACCAGTTCCGCCCCTGTATAGCGTGCCCCTTGCTCCGCCCAGTTACGCACGAGCGTACTCCACGCCGCGTAGTAGCGTGGGGAGGGGGAGCGTTAGAATGGTGGCATGTGTAGAGGCTAGAACCGGTTTCCACCGCCATGCTACCGCCCAGCGACATGGAGCGGGGGTCAGTGACCAGGGCGCAGGGAAAGGTCAAAGGTCAGCTATAACGTAGAGCTTTGTGTCTCCCTCCCCTCGCGTGTAACGACCGCACGACAGCGGCCGGCCGCCAATCAGGCTTGACATGTCAAGGTCACCCGCAGTCAACGGGCTCGGAGGGTGGTCGAGTGCGCGTCCGTGGCTGGCGACAGTCTCGACCATGTGCTATGGTGCCGATTAGTGATGTCAATTACGGAAAATCGGAATACCGATACCAAACCAAATACCAACCAAAACCGTGGAGAAATACCGAAACCAAACCAACCTTGGGAACATGAGGAAAATACCAACTTTTTACCGATTTCTTAGCCTCCTAAACATTAGCAAGGGTTTCATGATACCAACAAAATACCAAACACATTAGCATTGAAATACCAAATACCGAGTTGGTATCGGTTTGGCATCGGTATACCAAAAAGTTTGTATCCGATTGACATCTCTAGTGCCAATAGACTAGGGTGGGTTATAAGCTTTTGTTCAGTGCATATGGCTGCTCGGGTGCGTCATCTGATATGATGCTTTGTAATGTGTATGATACGTTGAAAACCTCGCTGGCAGTGGCCGAGAGGAGAAGAGGGGCGGGGAGACGGGTGCCGCCTCCACATGTCTATTTGCTGCGCGAGCTGAAATTTTGCAAACCTGACCTTTGATTCCAGCCGAATTTGTATGACAGCCGCTGTATTTTAACCCTCGCTCATATTGGTGTTTTGCCAGCGTCTAGCATAAAGGGGAGGGGGTCCGTTGGACCCCTTTGCCGTTCAGACCCTGATCGAGCTAGAGCTTCGCGGAAAAAGAGCGTGTTGCCCGTGACGAGAGGAGGCCGTTGATACACAATTTTGAGGTCCTAGGTCATTTGTTGATATGTCAATATATACTCAAAAGTCGGGAAAATCGGGACCTGTTAGAGCTTCTTAAAGTGAGGCTGTTATAAGGTTTTGCGGGGGTGCTGATCACGAATTTCAAGTTAACTTTTATCACAGATGATGTTTTCGTGCATCTAGTCCAGGTCGGGTCAGGTCACATGTTACGAGGGAACCAAAACTACTTCGTAAATGCTCAAACGGTTTCTGAATGCGAAATCAACTCCAAAATCTACCCTAAAAACATGTAGAACTCGAAGCAGTGAACTAAGGTCATCAAAGGTCAGTGACCTGACTGACCTTCACGTGACCTTGATACCACTAGAATCCATGGGATCAACATCCTTTCACATGTTTGATCGCTTAAAGCCACAAAAAGACAATAAACGCGCTCATATGTGAGCCGAAATACGCTAAATCGCGATTCCGGCCAAGCATGGTCTCGGAAAACAGGTCACAAGTCAAAGGTCTTTTGAGTCAGGGTCATAAGAATTTTAAGGGTAGGCGTAATATGATTAACTTGAGGGTACTGAAAGTTTCGTCGCGAACAGCCGCTTTTTGCGCGAGTTATTTGCGAAAAACTGAGAGTCTGTTCGACACCCTCTTACAAGTGCGAAGGTTAAGGTCAGGCCGTTGACCAATGACGTCAAAAGTGAACCTCTGTTAGGTCCCAAAATGTTGCGACGTCGCAACACCCTTCGTGTCAGGGGACCTTTCACTGGGTAATGAAGCTTATATGATCTACATAATACTATCTCCTAGAGGCCTCACAACTTGAATGAAGTTATCTCGTATTTTTCTTAAGAGTCACCTGAAGTCAGGTCGGTCACGCAACTTCACGATTAGGGTAACTGTGGGGAAAACGCACCCCTGGGTTAAACGCCTCCCCTAGAAAAATCGTATTTCTTATCGACGGATAGGCGTTTTATCCTGTCTTTCAGAACAGTCAGCTGCTTGTTTACGTAGGTCTCTATTTCCGGTTCTGCGTCTTGAGGAGCAGCGTGGGTAGGTGCTGATGTTGGTTTTGGGTGTTGTTTTTGTTGTTTTTACAGAAGATTCCTAAGATTTTGATGCCCTCTTTATATCACAAAATTTGCTATTGTGCACATCACTAAAAACTGCGTTTTATTGCCATTCTGTTGAATTTATTATGCTACGGCGTTAGTGGCGCGTTTTTTGTCAATATTTTGTTGACCGGAAATGGAGTGGATGGGGAAAGACGCCTCCTCGATGCATGGGGCAAGACGCCCCCAGTTTTCTGAAAGGGGGGCGTTTTGCACGGTGGTGAGAGTGCAGGGTAGCGCCCTGTAGGTGGGTGCCGAAAAGGCCTCTCCCCGTCCTTTTTTGCTGATATATCCTAAACGACTGCAGATATCGTCACCAAACTTTCAGGACTCCTCCGGGCATCCATTTTACACATTGCAACAAAATTTTATTCCAAAGGCTATGATAGGTTGACCACAAATGACGTCAGAATGACGTCAAGTTCTGCCATGTTCATCATTTTCTGTTGCTGGATGGGGTGGGGGCGCTTTGCACATGGGTGTGGGCGTATTACCCAGGGTGGGGGCAAAACGCCCTTTTGTAAGGGTATGCGAAAACCTTTTTGGGGGGTTAAATACCACACGCAGGTGTCTTTTCTTGGTCTCAAAGCGTAGTAAAAAAATGAGCTACATGATGGTGCCCAAAGGTTTGAGTAATCTGTGTTGGGTTGAGTGTCAGAAGGTTTCGCGCTTAATGGGGGCGTTTTTGACCTATTCACCCTATTAATCAATGGGGAAATATGAAAACTGTTATTTTGGCGCCGGGAGCCGTCTAGAGCTATCTCAAGCGCATTAATTCGTGATATTATTCAATCTTTACGAGCCCCAACATTTACTTTTGCATTCTTGATCTTAGGCGACTTCATGTATGACGTCACTAAGGTCACAGGAGTTTTCACCAAAAAAGTCCCGATCAAATTGAGCTAGCGAGTAGGGAAGCCACCAAAGGACTTGTGAGGACCTACCGAATCAAATAAGCGATACGACCTCCTTGGGCCAGCTTCGTGGACTGAGTGGCTCTGCCCTGATCATGACCTGAGGTGAACACCTTAAATTGACCTCAACAAAAACAAAGCGTATACTATTCGACGCGCTTGAGCATGCAAAACTCGATGGTGCCATTACCTTGGCTCTGTATCCACTATGGTGAAGTTGTTTACCAAAAACCGATCCCGCGACTTGGAGCACTTATTCTGACCTCAGAGTTTATCGTTTGACCTGAGACATTCAACTCGGGCACCAGCTGCTGCATCTCTTACGACACACGCGCTCAGTTTTATCCGGAAGGCGCTAGCTCAATTAGGGGCGAAAAGACGGAGAGGGGTCGTAATCGCCCCCCCCCCCCCCCTGGGTATATGCAGAAAACCCAAAAGTCTGTTGAGGGTTAAGCACTGAAGTGCTATATTATGATATAGAGATATAGGTCAAAACAAGTATGCACACGAGCGGGTGTGAATAAAATTGTATTTAAGGTGCCTGCCTTTTTAATTATACGTTCGATTTGCTTTAGTTATTGGTAAGAACAGAGGCAACCAGGAAGAGCGCCCCTGAAGAAAAGGTGGCGCACTTGACGGGTGCGATTTTAAGGTCTAAGGTCAGTCGGGGACCTCTAAGTTCGGGTCAAGCGCTCCATGTTAGGGGTAAAAGAATGGGGGCAAAAAAGCATCCCGATTTTGGCAGCATCGTCTTCGTCATGCTGTGTCACGGCACCTATCCACTTCCTCGCCCGAAATATAGTTCCCTTTTTGTATCAGTTCTGGCATAATCCCGCACACTATGCTGCATGTTGTTTGTCATGAAAAAATGCATGTTCAGCTACGTTCTACGCAGTACGCACTAACCTAACCACCATCTCACCATCCATCACTAACCACCATCCCGTTCTGTGCTCCCTTCCACCCCACACGAATCAGCCGAGATACTAGTCAGTCGGGCTAGCGCTATCCTCCCCTCCCTCCCTGACTGCACAGCGCTGAAACCTAGAGCCGAGACTTCCCGACTCCCGAGCGCGACCTCTGACCCCACGCAGTCCGAAGGGCCAGCCGTTGCCTAAGGGCGCGCCGCCCGCCGGCCACCCGGATAGCCTCTGCTGAGTCTCCCTTTCATACACCGTTTACTACGCGCTCGATTCATTCATGATTCTGTGTTTCCGCGTTCCTCTCGTTAGATGGCTCTACTGATGTCATAGGCGATCCCAGGCAGATTGCGGCCAGAATACCCCAAACGGCAGAAAATGAGGTTTTTGGTGAATATCTCGGAAAGTATTTGGCATACAAGGATGCAATTTTACAGTCTAGTGGTAAATGTGCATACACCAATTCGGGTTCATACTTATGCATTTGAACATAATATAGGACCAGATATATCCAAAAAAGCAAAACCAACAAGACTTTTACTGGAGAACCGTACCTAATGGTCCTCCGTCCTCGGCCCGAAACAGGCATCTGCGGCGAGTTCAAAAGACACGAATAATGTGCGAGATATCATCATATATTTAACATTCAACTTCCCAACTCGGTTGGTTCGATGTAAATTCACTAGTCTACCGAATGCCGATGCATTGTTTCCGTGCACAGTGTTCACCACACAAAGTGCACATGGTACACATTATACGTTCATGTGGTAACTTTACAGAGCAGCAGCACAAAACATAGACCTCTGCATACCTGGGCATACACAGGTCCATGCCTCGAATATGAACAAACATTACACATTGCATACAATATCAAACAAATAGCCTTAGGTATAGTGGTATGAGCTTTTGCGATGTCGCCTTTGAAAACATTGTGCTTGGTAGGGAATGTCATTCATTCATCACAAATGCTTCATTCATTTTAGCGGTTTGAGCGCCTTTCGTTGCAGACCCATTTGGAACGGCTACCTCGCTTTCCGGCCCTGGCTTTGAACCTGAGCTAGACGCATCCTGCTCTGGCTTTGCAGTTGACTCGGGCACGACCGGCTTCGGTTTTGCGGCCGCTCCCTTTGACGCCTGCGGGAAAATCAGCTTCTCCAGTGAGATCATCGGTGACTCGAACGCTAGGGAGAAGATAGCTGCGACTGTGAATATGACCGGCACAGAGCCGATGAAAATATACACCAGAGTGAGCTGATCCAGATACAGTGGAGACTTATTGGTGTAGTAATAGTAGAGCTGAACGTCGATCGAGACCAGATACGACGTGTACGTCAGTCGGCTCAGCGGAATGAACGCCTTCCACGAGAGCAGGCTGTCGACGACTCCTCCGTGCCCGGTGACGCAGGCGAACACCACCCAGGCCACGGCCACGCTCCAGGCCGTGCGGCTGAGCATGGCGTAGATGACGCTGGTGGCCTCCGGCGGCACGGTGGGCTGGTCGTACAGTCCGTACACGATCAGACAGCCGGTGAGCGAGGCCGTCAGCCAGCCAATGGCCACCACCGGGGCCGGAAGGACGATCTTGCGACCGCGGATTTTGTGTAGCACCCAGCCCATGTAGAGGCCGACCAGGTACGGCCCGAAGCGCGTCCACGGCTTCTCGTAACGCATGTTTGAGTCGCCGTCGGTGCCGGGTAGCGCGCCGGTCGGGCCGAGGTTCTCGGTGACTGTCACCATGGCGTTGATGCCGGTGAAGAAACAGACTAGGAAGATGAGCCACAGTTGGCCGAGCACCGGCCAGTGGAAGAGCGGCAGCAGCACCAGCGGCGAGAACAGGAACATCTGCATGTCGTTCGCGAGATACCACGTCTGGCCCAGACACTGCTCCTCCAGGCCGTCGATGTTGTTGACATACAGCATGTTCATCCACCACTTCTGCTGGCAGAGCAGAGGGTTACTCTGGCTGGCGACGCCCCAGAAGGGGCCCGTACCGAGGTGGAGGTAGAGAGTCGAGACGAAGCCGATCACCATCATCATAACGGGAGTCAGACGGATGTAGCGGTGCACGTAGAACATCAATATGTTGAACTTGCCGTTGGTTTTATCAAGTGAACGCATTACAGAGTAGCTAACAAGAAGACCACTCAACAGGAAAAACGTGTCCACGGACACCGTGGCATCGGTGATCGTGAGAAAGCCAAGGTTGCCGAAGAATGACAACAGCTTGGTGATATTCTGGTGTTTGAAAGGTACGAGAAAGAAATACGTGTGGCCGAGAATAACCCAGGTATTTGAGAAGAAGCGGATACCGTGAAGGCAGCCTAGCGTATCCCTCGTAGACGACGTGTCAAGGAGCTTTTTGCCGTTTGTGTAAACTGAAAACGCCAAGAACACCTGACGCAGCGTTCCCGGAAGAACCTCGCGTTCATTCACAGTAGCCAACCAAGACTCTGGCTTTTTCGCGGCTTGTACTGCCACAACATCGATAACCGTTCCCAAATCATCAGCAGGGCCGTGAGGGAACATATGACAATCATGACAATGTCTCCTGCGGTGAATGTGGTCTCCTCGTCCTGCGTATAGCACAGATAGTCCGGTACTGAGACTGTGACCCCGGAGAGGGCGGCGTTCAGGCCCGCGGCCAGCTCGCTGCCGCTGCAGGTCGACGGGATACACATCCCGACGTAGGCGTTCTGGTAAGGAAGGACCGGTAGGATGGGCGCCAGGTCCACGGCGGCCGACTTTACGTTGAGATCAGGGGGTGAGTGGGTCTTCCCATCCGCCTTGGACATGATGGCCAGACAGTATTTACCGGCGAATGAGGCTTGCCTCGACACAGTGTCGGGCTCCAGACGAGTGGTGTAATACCCGGTCGTGTTCAAACATTCATCCCAGTTTCCGAATGGGTTCACGTTGCCCAGCAGCACACCGTCAGGCAGTTTTCCGGTGGCGTCAAACATCTTCAGCGCCCAGATCTCCTTGAAGATGTTGCGCAGGTAGGACAAGCTGCTGGCCTGACACGCCAGACTGGCGTGCTCGTTGGCCACGGGGGTGATGAAGGGCCCGATGGCACGCGCTATGGCCTCGTCCCTTCGCTGGCGGTACTGGACAGAGGTGGAGTCGGATGGCGCCTCCGAACGGGCGACCTCCAGCTCCATGGTCCGTGGCACTCCTGAAATCAGAGCGAGGAGTCTGCTGTTGATTTTGCGGATCTTATACGCTCTAAACAAAAAAAAAAACAGCGCACGCAGATACCGGGCTCCCAGGTCACGGACACATGAAAATGCTCTATATATGTATAAACGAAAAGTTAATTACCAAACTGTTACAAAGCAAACAACTAATTTGAAACGTCGGCTTCGGAAGACAATGGAAGCGCACCACAGCATCACTCATGAGCCATAACATTATTCGTCAGCCAGTCATTACCACCGTCAGGACACATCTGAAAATTGAGACCGATTCTTCACTTACGAGCTCTCAACTCACCAGGTCTTTGTGTGGCGTTACGGATCACATCCAGGGGACTCTCCTCGAGCACATTCTTCCTGTCAAACTCCCTCCGAACTTTCAGAACCGTTCCCCAGTGATCCAGCACTCTCCAGTCATCTATACTACCATACTGCAACTCGGAGCTGACCTGAGCGCACCCCAAACCCACCACCAAACATAGGGCGGTGAGGAGAGCGCCTTTCGGACCCATGGCTGCTCCGCGCTGCCGCAGGAGAGGAAGTGAGACACTGCCGGCCGGCGTGCCTTGAACTACCGCCGCCTATCGTGGCTGGCCTATCAGTGTGTGTGGTGACCGCTGCGTGAGATATAATGGCGTGTAAGGTCCGAGCGCGCGTCCGTGAGAGTGGACAAAGGTCCGAACAGTGACGCCATCCGGTTTTAGGCGGAACGCGACGTGACCTGTTGAGTGAGCTAAAAATGGAATTACGACTCAGGACATTGAATACATTGAGCACGTACAGCACAGCCCGCCAGCGAAAAAACAAACAGCTGAATGGCTTTGGTCTTTCCCTAATTACAATGTCTGAACAGAATGCTACCCAGGGTCAGCGGGTCAAGACAGCGAATCAGCTTAGCACATAGCCTAACTGCATCCTTCGCCACTGCATCTACCATCATATCCCCAGCCCGAGGACCGTAGGGTTAGTACTTGTCACAATCGCCCGCCATGGCTGTAAAACAGCGCCGACTGCGCCGTAGGCAAATATTCCTGTCTGCTGGCCACTGATTATGCTAAAAACCGGCTCAAATATACACAGTCTTAAACCTGTACAATTTACTGCTGCTGGATCGACAGGTGAGAGTTTTTTTCCACGAATGTCGAAGATAACCGGGAAAAACTCCGTGTGACGTGCAACATGTATTGAAAAGATAGAAAATAACCTTACTTACATACATTCTGATCGCGATCAGACAACTACGGGCAAGAGCCTCCAACCACGGAATCATCACATTAGTGGACGGCAATATCAAGTAGAATAATCAATATCACAATCAATTAGTCTACTGGCGTGCCACTCTACAGGCCTGCGCAGACGATATATTCGGAAATAGCGGCCATCAATGTGAGCGACAGAAAATTGGGAAAAGGCACTCGTCAAGGCACAAAACAGATGTCAGACTGCAGCCAGGTTCCCAGAAGCAGCAAGCTACTTGGTCGATTGACTAAGATCAGGGGAAAGCTAATCAAACAAATCAGCGAACGATATGTAATAATACTGGGAAAGAATGAGTACACTGAGCTATCACACACCCTAACGCAAGTGCAGGCGGTTATAGTACATTACAAAGTACAAAGTTACAGTGCACACACACAAAACTGTGATAGGACGAGCAGACACGATTATTATGGCATGTTCCAGAATTGAACTGAAGCAAAAATGCTAGAGAATTGAGATACCGGCTTCACACTTTATGCTTACAATAGGACATGGATAAATCACGGAACCTTTAAACGTTTAATCATCCTATAAAAGCAACAGATTTAGAACAAAGTCTAAGCGTAACGTTCCTTGCAATACAACTATACCTTAAGCAAATTTGCGAGCATATCGATAGTGTCATCTCGATTGCAAATGTTCATGATTTTTTTTTTTTTGTTCAGCTGCGGCCTATTTGAGCATAATCGAAATCAGCCTTTCTTAGTTACATGACGTCAATTGCGTTGATTTAAAATAATTCGATGGCAAATGATAAGGAACAACGTAAAAAGAGGAATCAAACAGTTGTTCAAACAATAAGGCCCTAAAAGTTGAGCGCGTTTTCCGAAGTATCCTGATGTAAACGCGATTTCAATTACCGCCAAGCCATTACAAGGCACTCAAGAAATGCGAAACGTGCCTCATGCCTCAAACTAACGAGGATGCCGTCAATAATGCATAATTAACATTGTGCTTTCCTTCATATCTAACGTGTCATTAACTAAATCAGTAGCCCAATCACTAAGTGCGGACGCGCAAATTTAGAAACCACAAAAAACTACGCTGATATAAAGTAATACAGACGAGGAACTGATGACTTTCAAGAGCCATGCCAATCAAATCGAACCTCAACTCAGGCGATAAAGCCAGTGAAACACCAA